CACCATCATGCGATCTGTTTCGCTATTTATGCATGTTCTTGGAGAAATCTTCCACCATTTGTTAAACTTACTTATCACGGTTTTACTTGTACATTTATGTTTATGTTTGCATAGTAGTTTAAGCTTAATTGATAATGGTGAAGTCAACTGGCGAATAGACAGAAATAGTCGGTCAAGTACGTACTGTACGTAGACTTCAGATTTGTTAAGACTGCAGACTCTCGGCAGGCAGGTAGTACATGGGTGGTCTCCCTTTCTGTCACCTACAATTAATATTAACAAAAAATATGTACCTTATGTCACGGAAGAAAATTGTAAATCACCTTTAGCAAAATACAACCTATATTTTAACATTATCTGGTTAGTTTGCCAAATACATAATGTGACACTAACGTATTACATTGACCAGTATATACGTATATAATGTCTCGTGGCTTTTCAGGTACTGTACGTCGTAAAACGCCTATATACATAAAGGTTATCACCACATTAAAGTAAGGGTGTTCCGCCACTCGGCTGTGGGTTTGGTGACGCACCGAGCCCGGCTTTCAGGCTAAAACTGAGGAAAAGCATCTTTTAAAATGTCGCAACAAACGTCATGATGTTTATTTCCAGGCTTGTAGTATGCCCATCCCCATGCGCAGGGGTCATTGTCCGCAACACTGGTTTTAAAAATTCAGATCTGTGGTTAAACATATACACTAACACGTATATGTATGTACACATCGCTAACGTGTGCTTTATTTTACATAAATGAACATGTAATAAAACCAAAATATGATATGCGATACTGACAACGTTTATTTAACTGATGTCTGTTTTTCGAAAACTACAGCTCAGACGAACGTTATTGGTGAACAGGATTGCTATCAACCAAGCCCTTAAACAAAGTAAAGGAGTTGCTGTACAATAGACAAAAGTGGACTTGGAAAGATCAAGCCGATTTCTTGATTTTTGATGATGTGGGCGAAATATCGGAATGATATTTACAATTCTGAAATAATTTTACTTGAATGTATGGAAAGTAAAAAGGAACTTTTATTTATTGAAAATGAAATTATTTCCGTCAAGACAATTCACGACTACTAAATTACTAATAAAACATAGCCCGAACGTCACGTTCTTTAAAACTTATTATTGACGTAGAGTGCTGGTATTTATATAATGTACTCTTAAATATAGACTTGCTTCCTTCAAATGTGCGAGTTTTAATTCTATTTGTATATGAACCCTATTTTGTTTCGACAACACGGCTCCTGTGATGAAATGAGGCAGGAATTAGAATCCTGAATAGCCATTTGGTTCATAATCTAACATCTGCCACTCCAAACAAAGTTGGAAAATTGAAAAAATATGTTTACAACAATTATAAAAAAACAACATAAATCAACTTAAATTAATCACTTTTGTTGGTCCGGATGGAAGCCTGCAGAGAGTGCTATTGTGGTAACAAACCGGATTACCCAAAAGAAAGTCCACGTGGTCGGACAGTTGACCCCAATACTTTTTAACCTCCGATCGGGGAATCGAACACCAACCGGATTGGTGAAAGGATTGGTGAAAGGATTGGTGTCCTCTACGTCAATAGACTGTTTCTAGAAGTCACTCTGGTAGTAATCAAGTAATTCCCACAGGTGCATTTGCAATATAATGTTTGTGTTGTTTTAGTTTATTTCTTATTTTTTGTTTGCAGTATTCACTCTGCATAGAACAAAATTCATTCAATCTTTGAAGTAAAAAGTTTATAATGTATAGACAATCCCACGGTTGTCCGGGATACCGGCTGTCCGGGACACTGCCCAAATTAAAGTACCTAACATGTAACAGTGATCTATAGTAAAATGAACTCCTTCATGTTTTATTAACAACTAAAATCATGTAAGATGAAGGGGTCGAGTTGGTGCTCCATGAGTTATGGACACCAGGGGCAAGGGTATCACATCGTAAGGAACAATAATTTAACAAAACACACCAGATGTGATTGATAACGTGTCCAGCCTAGTGTGTCCGTCCATGTCTGGTAGAAACAGGACCACAATGATACATAGTATACAACTACAAAACACAATAAAACATGTTTAATAATGATAATGGTATCTTTTGACGGATGCGGTCGCCCTGAACAACAAAATATATTATTTTTCCTCAAGCCCAAGGACATACATTCCATGTTTAACATTACGTTCTGTCATTGTAAATAAACCGTGACTGCCGGGTCATATCGGCTATACTTTCACCGGTTATTACAAAGAAATTGTTTCTTTTTTTAACATTTGACCTCTGTGACCTTGAAAGGGGGCCAAGGTAATTCGTTTGCACACACTTTGTAGCCCTTCATCCCAGGCTACTACGTTATACTGGCAAAGTATCTTCTCCTGCGTTTATTTTTATTGAAAAGATATTGTTTAAAAAATTTCACACATTTGAAACCCATTAATTTGAACAAACTCGGCAGACTTTCACCCAGTATGTTATTAGCAAAATTTCACCGCTCATTGCTTTAAACATTTCATTCCAGCATGCAACGTTTGGTTATTGAGAAGAGGTTGTCTAAAGATTTTAACACATTTCATCTCTCCAACCTTGAAAGTAGCCTCAAGGTCATTCGTTTGAAAAAAAAGGTGATAGCATTTAATTCTAGGATGTCACTTGCCAAATATAGCATTTGGTTATTGAGAAGATGTTGTTTATTAATTCTTTTAAACATTTGTCCCCATTACCTTGAAGACAATGCATTTGAACAAATTTGGTAGCCCTTCATCTCACTATTCTTATAGCCAAACATCATCACTCTTGGCCCTTTGATTATTTATTAACAGATGTAATATCCTTCAATCCTAGCCAGCTACAAGTACTGTACATGATAGATATCACGACTCAATCCCCATTGTTATACAGAAGAAATCATTTTAACACATAGGACCCTGGTACTGATTATAATGACCCAGCAATCCTTAGACCGACTATAAATATTCTGAACATTAAATGTTAGTGTTTAGATGTTTTTTAACACATTTGACCCGTAGACCTTGGCTTTTTAAAACAAATTAATTGATTTTCACTGTTATTAGGTTACACTTAATTTCATAAGTCAAGGAATCATAGTGCTGAATAAGAAGACTTAAAGAATAGTATGACACCAGAGCGTGATACCAGACGGTGCGTTACAGGTGATACATCCTTACACATGCTTAAACTTAAACCTCTTTATTCTTTTAGCAAGCAAGATATATTTTTATGAAATACAAGCAAACATCCTATTATCATATCAAAATAATTTATTGTGCAAAGTACGTCATTGGTTTAGGATTATAAATGCTTCTATGTTCTGCTTCATAGCCACTGGGCTGATTTACAGTATAACTTGACAGGAAGATTTACCATCTGATCTGGCAGGTTTGAGGGATCGGGGCACAGGAATGATTATTTTTTTCTAGTTAGGTAATCAGATCATTAAAGAATGATGGGCACAGATCTGAAACTCGTGTGTGACACATTTAATTAGTCACAACTGATTTATGAAGTGTTATCTAAAATTGAAATTAAATTCAGTTGTTAAAACTTGATGCCCAGACAAGATGCAATGGACAAACAATGATGGTGTATTCCTACAGTCCCTAGATCTTAATTATCTGTTAGCTATTTATAATTCATCAAAACGTGCAGTTTGGTAAAAAAAAATCTGTAATACAAAATTAGATAGAATTATTTTGATATACAGTAAACAAGTAATGGGAGTGTTGGCTGTTGGTATATAGTCACACACTCCTGATTAGCACACAAGTTTGTGACTTTATATGGATTTTCATGTACTTTTGTGTCTCTGAGCTGTAGGTAATATATACAGGGGAAGTAGAACAAGAAAATCAATGTGAGATGCATCTGTTTCCCCATATAGGCATCAGTGAGAAACTGATCTTGATATAGTTGATAAAAGATAATTAACAAAGTAACAATTCATTAAAAGCACCAGACATACTGTCAGACTAGATTTCAGTTATCAATTTCTAATCATTCTTAAAAAACTCATAACAATGTCAACATGACATCAATTCTTACCCTCACAATGTAGAGTAAACGAAGAAAACCTTAAAAACTTACATTTATACTGTGTAAAGTACAGGTATATTTACCAGGTAATTTCTTTCCTGAGGTGCTTATAGAAGTAGAACGTTTTAGTTCTTTGATAGAATATTCAAAAATACTCAATCAATAAATCAGTTCACATATATATAGCTGAAACTCTATACCCAGCCAATTAGTGTAATTACTACATCATTATGTAAGGAGGTGTTGTTACAATTATTAGTCCAAGTGAGAGAAAAAGGAATGTATCGATGGCAAACCACATTGTTACCTTACAACTACTATCTTACAAGTCTACAATTAAGGAAATAGGATTGTGTCGCCATTTCTCAGTAGAATTTATTAAAATTTTGTAGTTATATTGCTTTGAAGTAAAGAACATTTTCTGCCACAAAAAAAGATATAGGTTGTCAGAATTTTAAGGATTTTAAATGGAAATTTATGTAAAAAGGAGTGAATTTTGAAAAAACAATATTTTGCAAAACAATGTCAATAAAAATGATACTAACATAGATTAGTATTGCATTGATGTATATCAATTTCATAAATACTGAAATTGTGTAAAATTAATTATCTATAAACCGATTAAAAATTGATATTTTGTAATAAAACCATATACACATAGTAATTGCATGCAAGAGTTATCGTTCTTGAAAAACTTCACATTAGTGAAATAGGTAGCCGGTTTCCTGAAGTACAGAAAAATGGACACATGTGACTCATTGATTAAAAAACAACTGAATTAACGCCTGGATTGCTTTGCAATACTTTAATATTGAAAGAACACACTGTTCTGTCAATAATAATCATACAGTATTCATCAGTTTAATATTAAACATTAGATTATGCTGAAATTGTGATACTGTCTCCCTACATTGGATTTTCAACTAGGGATGTACTTCCTATTTCCGTTTAGCAATACACTCCTATGACCTTAATATAGATTTAAATATTTCACATCAACCAGAAATGGAATGATCCTGTACATGTAGGCTGTGACATAAAAACTATTAAACTAAGACATCACAGTTGACATCATGATCAACTGTCAGTAATATCACAGGTTAGACATAATTATGTTATAGTGGTGCACGACAAAAACACTTGAGTGTGACATAACAATGTAACCGATATAGAGGTATAATACCTTTACCAGATATGACAATATATGATCCAATAGTTCACTATTAAAAATAAGTTGAAATTTATTTCTTTACACATGTCAAGTTATGATACTATTTCAGATTTCCTCAGTTGATGCTAATTGTGCAAACTATGTAGTATTTTATATAATACTGTGCAGAATATTTGTGAATCTGTTTCATGTCAGTGACCACTGTGACAAATTAACCTGCATTGTCCTTTCTATGCTATCCTAGGCTAATAAACATGTAGAGTAATATCTATGTTCTGTACTTTTCTGTATTGATACATGTTTTAACTAGTAAATATATTTATCTATTTACAAGACAATTTTAAATATATAATGAAAGACACTGGACATACTTTGGTGCAACATTTAACATGTCATATCAGTAATTATAGATTACAGCATGTAACAACATTTAAGGTGTTTCAGACTGTGAAATTTTAACAAACCTAGCTCAACCCTGGCCTGTAAAACTCGAATTCATTGTGTTATTAGAGAGAGAAAGAAGATACCCGATTATAGTTGTCTCCCTTTAATCCAAGTTTATTGACTACAGCTTACACATGGAATTCTCTGCACTTCTACATGTCAATGGGAAGTGAAAATTTATAGTGTTGAATTTATGGAGAAGGGATGAATAAGCTGAATAATCTTTCAACAAAGTTTGTGAAATTTAACATCGCTGCAAAAATAAGCCAATATCAAGTGTTTTGAATCCGATGCAGAAAAATGTACCTACATATGTAGCTTAATTAATATAATTTTATTATGTTGCTAAAACTCTTGACTTGCTTTGTACTCCGAATAACTAATTCGGATAGAATTAAACAAAGCCAACCTTCTGTCATTATATATCATCTATAACTAGTTGTAAAAATAATGTAAATACTACACCAGTTCACTTGAAAGTCGTATTTTCCATCATAAAATATCTGTTTCTCACTAAAAATATTTCTGGTACATGTATCGTAACATGACACATGGATATAATTAATATGTTGCTATAAATGAATGATTGTAGAACTATCCTGTACAGTAAGACTTGTGTATTTCTAAGTCTCGCATTCTAGAGTACATCTTATCACATTTTTCACATGAAAACATGTCATTTTTTGTGTAGTCTGTATCACTATCTGCTGTAGTTATCTCCCTTGTTGCTTTCGGTAGTTTACCAGAGGGTGGCCTCACACTTACACCTTAAATGGGAAATCAAACATCAGTCACTGTCATCATTTATTACAGAACATGTCACAATAATATTGTCTACATGTGTAATTTAAAAAAAAAAGTTTCAATAATCAAATCAAAACTGCAAATGGTTGTAAAATTACAATATATTTTTTATACATGCATATGCCCTTTTTAAGTTGTGATCGAAAACACATTTTTTCTTGTTTATTTACAGGTTACATGTTCCGGCTGGCTAAACTAATAAACTACATAATAAACTACAGACTCTAGATGGTGTTGCTCCAATCTATCCTATAACTTGTGTTGACCTTCCTTATTGGAGTGCTATATTGAATACTGTTGAATATCCAACACAGTTTCCTACTACAATCCACTTATGACATTCATTCTTTTAAGATTCACTTGACATGAAATACACGTAGAAAGACAAATTTTAAGAATAAACCTATTTTCTCCACAAACCTTTAGAGTGTGTCATGGTGTTGAGGTCCTTGATGCCTAGCTTTGCAGCCTTCCTTATTTGAATGTACGCGCTGATACTGCTGGAGTTGACAGGAGCCATAATCTTTCCACTGGAGGGTCGGCTACGACTGCCAGTGTTTGGCGTCTCTCCTCTCCGACTGGCACTGGGGGGTCGGGTGCCTCGACCCACAATAAACTCCTCCTCAGGTGATTTTGTCTTATTCTCTGCAGGAGGGGACTTCAATTTGCCGTGATCCTTTGAAGTGGCACTGTGCTGCTGCTGTTTGAATTGTGTTTTCATGGGAGTGTGACTGTCGTTCTGTTCCCGCAAAGGAGGTGGGGAATGCTTCTGGGTGGAGGAACTGGGCAACAGAAACAAGCGTCTCTCTTACTGGTGCATAATTACAATCATGTAAAAGTAATCACTTCATGTAAAATCATTTACATTGTAAACAAGAGACACATGCTCCAATATTAATGAGAATCTTGTAAAGGAAAAAGAAAACTGGTGAAGGAAAACCACTGTAACGTTAACAGCTAACACTGTCAGACAATAACTCCCTTTCCTGTCAACTTTGGGGATTGAACTGAATTTCATGGGAGAGACGGAGTGGTCTGAATTTCACACTTAATTACACGTAGTTGTGGTAGTTACTGTGCACCTAAGCAATCTGAGTACTGAGGCACTCTATAGAACCATGTAATTATAAGCTTCTAAGTCTTAAATCTCAGTAATTATAAGACAAACATATGCAAAGCTTGTCAGTGAGACTTTCTCCATTAAGAGTTAAAAGAATGCAATTTATAATATACACATCAAACAGACTATCAATACAAATATTCATCCATACTAGATTAGTGTATATCTTATATTTTTAAAATCACCTTTCACATTCAGGAAATCCCACACTACCGTCCTCATACCTTACCTGTCAGGTATCCAGACATTGCTAGCCTCACTCTGAGCGCTGTCCAGGTGTTGCTGGTTCCACAATGCTACAGGCTTGTTGGACTACAAACAAACCACATTTCAAATGCTAAATTGAAAGCTGGCAACAAATATTTTTCAGTCATCAATATCATGCCAAAACAACTCACATTTTTCTCACCCTGAATAAAGGTACTTTATCTTTATGTCAGCCGTTTCACTGTAACTAGACTTTTACAAGATTCAGGTGACTAAGGATTTATGTTTTATTACACATACTAAACTAAAATACAAATATTAAACCAATGGATTACATAATACTCCTGAATATTATTTCACAAAACATGAAAAAAGAAATGTCTAATGATTTAAGATCATTGATATACACTGTTGAAGCTTATTGACGAGGTAAGTACCAGTTCACTCCAGGCCTGTTTCGGAGGTGATCCCCCGGGACCTCGCTGTATTGACACGATCTTGGTGATGGAGTTCCTCAGTCCCTCATTCTGTTCCTCCAGAATGTTGATCCTCTGAGAGTTAGCCTTTACCTGGTTCTCCATGTCAACAACAATATCACCACTACCTACACAACAAGACAACAGTGTGTATTATAATATACAAACCTTTACAATTTCATATTCATATGATGATAGAAAGCTGAGATTTACATATCCATATCGCAGAGGAGCAGAGAAAGACAGAGAAAGGGAAAATGGAAAAGGGGAGAAATTCAGCTTGAGCAGTAAGAAATGGACAGAAGGAAACAGAGATGGCAGGAGAGAAGGAGTGCAAAGGTAGGAAGGTGAAGGATGAGAATGAAAGGGCAGATGGCAGAAGGTGGAAGGCAGGAAACGAGGGAAAGAAGAGAATTGAAGAAAATGTTAGGAGGACAAATGGTGAGGAGCATATAGAAAAGGAGAGGATAAGTGCAGAAGGAAAGGGGAAAATGAAAGAATCAGAAGATCAAGAAAGAAGGAAAGAATAGAGCAAAATGGAAATAGGGCAGAGGAGAGACAGGGGAAAGTCAAGAGGGAGCAGAGTGAAAAAGCAGGCTGGATGGGAGAGGAGGACAGAAAGACAAGAAAGGAGGAACAGCGTGAGGGAAAATAAGAAAGTAAAATAGAGAGAGATTTCTGACATATTATACCTGTTAATATTCAGTATAATGCAATTTTGTTCATATCACTCAACAGCTTGAACAATGTATATTCTGTTAGAGATCTAAATCAATGAGTAAAACTTAGAGATATCGTTATATTCATCAAACCCATTAATTTATCAAGGTAATGGGCAGCAGTATATTGTTGAATTACAAATAACTGCTAGGGGAGAAACCATTAGAAAGATTCTAACTAAACACATAATGATGCTGAGACTGACATATCTGTGTATGTAGTTACCTTTGAGATCTCTGTTGACAGGTCCGTTAAGATCAGGATACTCGATCATGAGTCGTTCCTGCTCCCTGGCCTCCTCCAGCTGTTGTTCTAGCTTCTGTATGTTAGTCTCTAGCTGACTGATCGAGTCTTGTAACTGTTCCTTCTCCGCACCCAAGTGTTCTATCAACTCCTGATAAACAAGACTACATTTACATCTTCCTTCCCAGTAACTGTATACTCCCCTAAGCACTCAAGGTGTTTTATCAACTCCCGGTAAACTAGACTATATTTACATCTTCCTTCAATTTCAATTTCAACAAATTGTATTGACAATATAAGCAATAGTCAATAGGATCAGACATCAGGCATAGCCTATCTAAGTCCTCTCCTTAAGGTGACAACAGGTGGTAAGAAACAGACATATATATATTTATACATTGGGATAAGGGGAAGTAACTCCTTGATGTAAACAGACTTGTTCAGTATTTTTGAGATATTGTAACCCTTTCACTAGGGATATTTAATTTGAGATATTTATTAGACTATTATCTTCAGTGAATAATATCAAGTATTAGACAATGCATTACTGGTATTCGTATAAGGTAAACTATTGAGTATACATATTTGGTGATATTGGATTTATTTCCCCAACAGATACATCTTCCTTCCCAGTAAATGTATACTCCTCTCTGCACTCAAGGTGTTTTATCAACTCCCGGTAAACTAGACTATATTTAAATGGGCCTACTATATGAACATGCTTGTTACAAACTCTTGCTCACAATATAATGAAGTACATGTAATATCTGAGTCAAAGATATGACGACTCACTATAATTAAAGGTAACACCATTGACTTTCTATTGTCAAACAATAATCAAACAAGTAGTTTAAATACAGCTGCTTGTTGTTACCTCGTCATCCTTGACCTTTTTCTGCCACTTCGTGACCTGCTCGAGAGCCTTCTGGAGAGATTCTTGGGCAGCCTCTCGTTCCTCCTCTGCCACTCCAAGCTGATCCTTCAGGTCCTCATTCTCTTGGTCCAGTGTGTCCAGCCTCTGAAGCAATGTGCCCTGCTTGGACTGTAGACTCTGGCAAGTAAGGTCAGAAGTTATTAACAAATGATAGATGTTACCAAATTATATTTAAAGGCATGTTAGTCTACACAAATAAAACACAGAGTTGTCAAGAAACCATGAAAAATAAACATGCATACATATGTAATAGACCTCATCTTGTTACTTTATTCATCCAAGTTCCTTGAAATTTAAAAGGATTGACAAAATCAACATATATGTGTATGTGGGTATCAGGCATATCAATGTTAGCAGAGTTATTGCCCATTTTCTTTGAGTATCTACTACATGAAGTTCTTCGAGCTGCAGAGAGGGCACATCAATGGATTTGATTTATATTATCTTTTTCTTGTGCAGATTTGTTGTAGATTTGTAATTAATTTATCCATTTCAGAATTACTAGAACAATGACAGGTCAGCAAGGGCCTAGCCCCGAGTTTCCTCTGGCCCTAATATCAGACTTAGGGCATTTTGACACATAGATGTCTGGTATGGGGCCAGACTGCTATATGAAATGTGGAATTCTATGACACCATTTGGTTTCGGGGATTGACTAATTAACAAATAGATGTGGTCCGGAAATCCTCCTTACAAGAATGATATATTTGTTTTCGGTCCAGATCAGTACGATTTGTTTATTAGACACCAAAAATGTCATTCGGTCAGGTGGGAAATTTTGAACGATTAAAAATGGAGCAGGAGGACTCAACAGACGGAATTTAGCAGCTGTTGGTGAGAGTAAGAGCTGATTTGGATCAATAAATAATCCATTGATCAATATATGTGAGGTATGTGTTGTGTAATAGTAGATTTTTGTAGTCAGCCCATCATAACTTTCCCATACCAAACGGTGTCGGAGAGTTCCACGTTTTGATATAGCTAAGTCTGGTGTTAGGGCCAGAGGAAACTCGGGCTAGCAAGGGCCCTGCAGTCTACCTAACCCCCAGCCCCATCACCGGGGCCCCAATGAGTTCACAGTCAGTGTAATATTATTTCAGGATAAATCATATAAAAAATAAGCCCAAATGTTTAAGCTGTAACAGAGAATAGGATTAAATTAGATTTGTACTGTTTCATGTAAACACCAATCTTACTTTTTCATGTTTTGAGGAGCTCTTGTTCCTTGCCAATTCACGAGACAGCTCTTTGGATGACTTCTCAAACTGACTTTGTATCTTTGTTAGCTCATTTTGAAGCTTCTGGACATCTTCAGAATTGGCTTTGTTTTCCTCCAAATCCTTCGCTAACTGTTCTTTTGTTTCTTCTTTTAAAATAAAATTTTAAAATTGAAATATAAAATTGAACTGTTCTAACTCTTACCTGATTGTTACATTATGAGTATACAAAAAGGAGAGGAAATTTACAATAACTGAAAATAAAATCCATACACTAGAAAATAGTACTTATAACTTATGTTTTGAGCTACAATGGAACATACCCTGTCTACAGCACACATACACACTTGCACGCTTACACAACACACATGGAGGCACATCCTTAAATGACCTTAGATGTTAGTAGGATGTTAAACAAGATAAAACCAAAACCAAACTGAATTACAATGGACTTAAGTCTGTAATTATAAGCCATTATGATTTTGTGTTACTAAAGTCTACACATACCTAGGGTTTTAAGAAGGGTTTGCTGTCTCTCTAAGTCAGCTTTGAAAGTCTGCAACTGTTTTTCTAGAGTTGTCTTTGTTGATGCAAGTTCGTCCCTCTGCATGGTCATCACAGCAACGGTTTCCTGGTGATCACTTTCCATGTCCTTGACCTTGAGGTCAAACTGTTTTCTCAGAGCTGACTGTACTTCCCGCTCTGTCCTCATTTCAGTGTCAAAGTTGGACACTCGCTTTTCTAACTTTTTACACTTTTTTTCGTAAGTATCCACCTCCTGTTTGAGGTTCGCTATCACCTCCAGGATGTTGTCCTGGTTCTTGTTGATTCTGTTGAGGTCTTTGTTCTGTTCTCCTGCCCACCTCGCCATGTCGTTGGCTGACAGCCATTTTACGTCTGCCACTAACGGGCGATATTGTTGTAGACTAGACGGAAGTTTCTGATTTCTACACATATTGATGATTAAGTCACCAGTGGTCTTAAAACTTTTCTGAGCAATATGACAAGCCTCACACGGCACAAAGGCAGTCTCTATTGTCTGACAAGATTTACTGTTTGCGTCCCTGGCAATCTCCTCAAACTGTCTGGCAGTGTAGATTGGACTCATGGCCGACACAGACTTGTTGGACAGCTGACCCAAACTGTTAAGAGACATGTGTGAACCTGTCTGAGAACCATCCTCCATCTGGTCTGATATCTTCTTCATGTTATTTTCAAGCTCTTCTAGTTTTCGATTCTTCGTTTTGATCTGAAACAATAATATACTTTATCAAGTATCAAACATTTATAAGTTACTCGTTCTTCTAAATAGGAAATCTCATGAAATGATGAAATCTTGTTTAATTTGACATGGATGATACACACTGTATTCCGTTTGAAACTGATTCTTAGCCCTCTTATCAAAATAAGTTATCATTTAACAAGGTAAAGTTACACATTAAGCCTTTCATGATACATGTACTTCACCTACCGATAAGCTTCTGCATAAAAAACAAACAATTGCCTTGTCAAAGCTATAACTAACTCTGTATATAGTTGGGCTAAAGCTCAAATTTCAGGCAAACTCATAGTTTTGCAACTGTAGGAGACTGCCCACATGATTTATGCCCTGGACAAAGTGATAACCAGTGATCAAAGGGCTATAACTCTGAGTAAAGTGGGACTCAAGACCCAATTTCAGTGACACTCTCACATTTCGAGAGGTACTCAAAAAGGCAATTGTGGGTGAATTAGTTCAGTTATATGAGATATGTCCAAGGTAATAAGAGGTGACCAATAAATACAGACTGATGAACAGATGCAAACCCATTGTGTCATTTGGTAATACTGATAGGGGACCAATTCACATTATGAGTTAAATTTCATTATAAAACTGAAATCACCTTTGCATATATGCGTGACTAAACCATCTGAAGTGGTCGACTTGTAAATTCCTGTGTGTTAAGACCAGGTTTATAAACACAAAATATATTGAAGGAACATCATCCCAAAGCAAGTTTTTTACAAATAATTTTTAAACTGGCATCAAGTATTCTTATGGAATGAAATAAATGTCATTTTTAATACAAAGATTTCAGAATAAACAAGGTTGAACACTGATAATATCTTATTGACAATTATAATTTTGTCACATTTATCAAGATTTTATATATTCAAATTGTTTGTGTAGGTTGCCTTTATTCATATGAAAGAGAAACTTGACTGCTATGTATTTATATAGTGGTATATTTGCAGAAAGGTGATCCATTCAACTTTGAAGTAATAATTCAATGTTTCATATGTCTTTTGGGAGATCAATCTATGGAGGACAAATTCCCTAAAGTAAGTGGATTTTAAGAATCTTTTGTACGGTGTAGTTTTTTTCTGCAGCCTTACGTCTGACATGGTTTGTTGCAGCATGGTCTGGAGCTGAATCTGTCGGTTACAGTACTGCTTGACCACCAGGCCCACAGAGGTATTAGCCGTGTCTGCCAGGTCGACACCACCTCGGGACATAGTTTGTTTGTTGTAGGCTGACAAGGTCTGCATCAAATACACAAATCTGAAACCCAAAATGACACCAATATTTGATACCATATACCGAAGCTGAAATGTTCTACCAGTCCTAGGAAATGCTACATTAGGATTCATAACTGACCAATGAAAAATAACATTAAATTTGTCATATTTGCCAAGTATTCCTATTTCTGTCACTGCCTCACTTCTCATGGCTTTTGAAATAAACAAAATTAATTAACTTTATTCTGTCCAATACAGGTTATTGCAGTACATATGTTGTATTAGTTATTTTTGAAAACTGTGAACAATTTTGAAAGGTTGGAATACAATGATTTGTTCAACATGTTTTTTCAGTTGATGATCAGTAAACAGTTGTTTACCTGTCGATGACCAGTTCATACAGAGCAATGTGGGCCACCTGACATTCCTCTGCATCATCAGAGAAACTGTAGAGTTCAAGCAGATCTTCTATATCTAGGTCACATGACAGTTTGTCTGGGAATTTCCATGATGGTTGCTGCACAGGTCCAATCCTGGAGACAATCTCACTGATGGCCCACTGTAGGTCTGTAATGTCCTGTTTCAGACTCTCCAGGATAGCCTCATTTCCTAGCAGTTCTGCCATGTTCCTAAAACATATAACATATCAGCAATTTTATATACATTGTAAAGATTCATTGGCTTAGCACATTAGTTATTAAGTTAAATATGAATCTGTGCCACTTTCTTATTTTTAAAACTTAGAACAATTAAATATGCATGCATGTCCTAGCTGGCCTAGTCTCACAAATATATTTGTATTCCTTGAGGTTTTTTCCACAGAAAAACATTATTGGAGCTTAAAGGAAAACAAAATCTTTTAAGAAAGTTTTCCTTTACCTCAGCAAATTGCATCCTATACAGAAATGGAATTCCTGAAGTAACATTGGTCTGATACCCAGAAGAAGCAGAAAAGGGGAGTGGTGTCTTTCTATAATGTTTTATGGCACAGTGGTTTCCCCCCTAACAACAACTGTCCCCTTTCCTTACTTTGTTACATACAGTTAAATAAAGATGTTATTGCTATTAACGATCATCCACGTGCATTTATTTCTGTCAATAAAAATACTCAAGAGAAAAAATATACCAAAAGTTGGTATATGTTATGAGTAGGGTGTGATTTTTTTCTCATGACTATTTTTATTGACAGAAACAAATGCCTGTGTGATCATATCATTATTTACCATTAATTAGACCTCACGTGTAACCTGCCGTTAAGGCCAGAGAAATATTGGGATATTACAGTTTGAGCCTAGTGGCCAACTCCTGTTTCAAGTACATGTAGTTAAATGAATACTCATGCAGCAAGGGGATATCGATATCGATACTCGTGATACTGCTAGGATGAGACTACTTTATCTGGTTGTTCGGATGCATTCCCATACCATATATACAATTATTTTCAATAATTTTGTCATCATATTGTCGGATGGAATAAATCCATGTGAATTACCTGTTTTTTAACTCAAACGCGCTGAAAATCACCCACAAATGGTATGACAAAAAAATCTCGAACACCCGGCAGCCATGTTGTTTACAAGAATGCTAACGTACGGAAATCTCTGATTTTATTGTTGTTGGCTATATAGAAATCAAGTAGTTTCCGAATGAATGCCTATTCAAGGGAGGTCACTCTCTTAGATAAACATCCACGATGGCCGCACCCGCACGAGTGACACTTGCTGACATTTACAGAGCTCACGAACGAATACTACCATACATACACATGACACCCGTCTTTACGAATTCTACATTTGATAAACGAATTGGCAGAAATGCATTTTTCAAAGCGGAAAATCTCCAGAAGACAGGATCGTTCAAAGCGAGGGGAGCGTTGAATGCTGTCAGTAACCTTCGGGATACGTACATTAGCGCACGGCCAGTCAGCACTGTAAATGTTGCTTTCCCTTTACCTTAGCAAGAACCTGTCTGCAATGATTGAATCAGGCGCACATTTTTATTTTTTAACCAATTTTATTTGATTATTTTGAGAATTAACTTTATTTGAGAGAGCGATGAAAATGGAAAGAACAGTGTGTAAGATAAAATAATTCACCAGTTCATAAAAGATAAAAATTGAGGTATAGAATTGGTAAAGTGTAAACAATAATTTGTTACGGTTATATTTGGACGCTTTAAAACGAGTATATAATTATTGAATAATAACATACGCTAATAATGACACCGTGACCCCCTAATGGTAAGATACGAGTTTACCGAAAGTCAATCATTTTACATGTTTTAGGGGTTTAGATTGACTTTCGGTAAAAATGACACCCCCAATGATTAAATACAGGATTTAGATTGACTTGCGCTAAAAATGACACTGTGACCCCCAATGATTAGATACGAGTATATAATCATTGGGTTGCATTTTTACCATAAGTCTATCAGAAGATTTATTTTCTTGATTTGCTTGAAAAGAACTGACTTGACAAAATTTTCATTAACAAATTAGGGAATAGATAAACATATACCTTCTTGCTGAATAATTGTTTGAGAGATATTTGGTAAATTGAGATTTAGTACAAAAACATACATTTGTGTATGTTAAGAAATATACATGTACTATTAATTGATAGGTGATTTAACATAAGTTCCTCTCCTTCCTAATCAAGCATGCAAACCCACACATGCTGCATGTGTATCACTTCAGATTGAGCACCTTAATTTTGTAGTTTCACTGCTAGTTTTTGTGTTTGGATCAATGCACACTTTTTAGACTCCTTTACTTTTGTGTTGTGTTTACTATCAGAGAATAAGGACAATTACAAATATATGTCTTTTTAGGGTTACCCTAGTCTACTAACCCACATTTTTACTGCTAACCAAATAGATTTTAAATGCCCATATTTTGACAAGCACTCGTAAGTCGGGATTTGTGCGTCAGAGACAATATACATGTTAATATAAAAGCTTTTTTGAAATTAAGATAAATACTTAAAACCTAAACCTAGCTACCTGTTCTATTTTTCTGGATGTTACCCTTATAAGACATATAATTGTGTTTGGCCTTATGTAGAATCTTATGAAATACTACATTCTAATATTGTTTCAAATTACAAAATAACGTTTTGTGTTCCTGATTTTAAAATAAAGCAAAGAATACACTGTATTTTATATAATGATTAATATGAGGGGTGTGATACTGTATTGTTTTCTATTTGACTTTTGTTATAGCTTAAATAATAATATTAACTGTGAGAAATATGGGAATATTAAATATTCACATGGTTGCACATATTTTGATACATGTAATATCATAGATGTGTATCTTTTCAATTTTGAATGGTAATTAACCAATCCTTATTGTTTACTTCCAGCACAGTATAGCCTCATCTGTCAATACACCCACAATGAAAATGTATATTATGGGTGTATTGACAGACAAGGCTAGTACCTGTGCTGCCAGTACTGATACAATACTAGCTATATGTTATCTGTTTACAGGTGATTGCCCTCAAGGAGAGAAATCCTGATGTTCCTGGTGTGGTAAGTTGAACCCGGTGTTGTAGGCAGGAGAGAGATATCCGAATGTTAAATGATACATATTATGTATTAAATTATTAAAACAGTGATGTCACTGAGGAGAGGCAAGCAATCAACGGTCTGTTGTTGTAGAAAGAACATTTAAAATCATTTGACTGACCATGATTAGGCTTTATTCCCCTTGCTGAGCTACAAGTTACTCATTTAAGATTGCAACCAGGGTTTGGCAGGTAGACGGAAACGTATATGTTGAATAAACTAATGGTAAAAATGAAAACAAAAGTGTTTGATGACTAGTTTTATGTTGCTTAACTGAAAACTATGCAATTAATTATTGTCATTTAGCTCAAGAGACTATAATGGCTCAATAGTGTGACAATGAACCTCAGTTTGACCAATATTCAACTGTAAAATGTTTGCTTTTAGAACTTTTATGTTACATTAATCATAAGATGGTGGTAACAATACTCATTGTCAGGGCAACTGTCTGTGTATGATTATAGTTAAACTGCCCAGGCAGTGGTAGTTATAGACAGGTGATATCTATAGACATGTGATAGCTATAGCCATGTGATAACTATAGACAGGTGGTAGTTATAGACAGGTTATAACTATAGACAAATGATACCTATAGACAGGTGATAGCTATAGACAGGTGATACCTATAGACAGGTAATAACTATAGACAGGTGGTATTTATAGACAGGTTATAACTATAGACATATGATAGCTATAGACAGGTGATACCTATAGACAGGTAATAACTATAGACAGGTGGTATTTATAGACAGGTTATAACTATAGACATATGATAGCTATAGACAGGTGATACCTATAGACAGGTAATAACTATAGACAGGTGGTATTTATAGACAGGTTATAACTATAGACATATGATAGCTATATATAGGTGATAGCTATAGACAGGTGATACCTATATCCAGGTGATAACTATAGACAGGTGATAGTTAAGCTATGTTCTATAGGCTAGTGTAAGCTATATATACATGTGTAAGCTTTAGACAAATGATTGCTTTAGATAAGGTTAAGCTTTAGACAGCTGTATACATGGCCATCACTATAGAGAAGTTGTTACTAGTCTAGACAGGTTTGACAATGTTTGACAATATGTTGCCTGTTACAGGTAACACACAGTACAGGTAATCATGGCCAGGCATTGGCATGGGCTGCAAAAACTGTAGGCCTCAGGTGTGCAGTCATTGTTCCTCATGACACCCCACAGGTGAAGAAGGATGCCATATCAAGCTATGGAGCAGAGTTAGTTTTATGTGAGCCCACACCACAGTCCAGGTTAGTGTTTCTACAAAGCTGGCAGCACAAGCTATGAAGCAGTCAAGTATACCCTCATAGCACATTCCCAGTAATTCTAAAGAAATAGGTCACCACCTGAAAGCAATATATATATTTGTATGTGTCCTATATATGATTGGAACTGAATCTTTTAGTGACATCTCTATATCAGATTTTGTTTTGTTGATATGGTGTTAGTTTGCCTGAAATGCCTGATTTATTCGTCAACAATTTGATCTTTTATGTTTTTAGGCAGGAGACATGTGACAAAATTGCAAAGGAGCAGGGACTGGAATTTATACCTCCTTTTGACTATAATGATGTCATTGCCGGTCAGGTGAGGCTTACGACCTTTCAAAGACAATTCATATTGGATTATATTTCTGTTGATAACCGTACCTGTTGATCCATGGATATTTATTTTTTATGTTTATTGAGATCAACATCCTCAGATGCTTAAAGGTGATACCAAAATTAACTTTGAAATCTTAACTGTCTGAACTCATATATTGCACTTGTTTCATACAATGGATCTTCAGTCCAGATGGCTGACGTAATGGCAATATGGCTATAGAAATGATTGGTTGATATCATGGCAATATGGCTATAGCAATGATTGGTTTATATCATGGCAATTTGGCTACAGAAATGATTGGTTGATATCATGTCAATATGGCTATAGAAATGATTGGGGTATGTCATGGCAATATGGCTATAAAAATGATTGGTTGATATCATGGCAATATGGCTATAGAAATGATTGGTTTATATCATGGCAATATGGCTACAGAAATGATTGGTTGATATCATGGCAATATGGCTATAGAATTGATTGGTTGATATCATGGCAATGTGGCTATAGAAATGATTGGTTGATATCATGGCAATAAGCTATAGAAATGGTTGGTTGATATCATGGCAATGTGGCTATAGAAATGATTGGTTTATATCATGGCAATATGGCTACAGAAATGATTGGTTGATATCATGGCAATGTGGCTATAGAAAGGATTGGTTGATATCATGGCAATATGGCTTTAGAAATGATTGGTTGATAACATGGCCATGTGGCTATAGAAATGATTGGTTGATATCATGGCAATATGGCTATAATAATGATTGGTTGATATCATGGCAATATGGCTATAGAAATGATTGGTTGATACCATGGCAATATGGCTTTAGAAATGATTGGTTGATATCATGGCAATGTGGCTATAGAAATGATTGGTTGATATCATGGCAATGCGGCTATAGAAATGATTGTTTGATATCATGGCTATAGAAATGATTGGTTTATATCATGGCAATATGGCTATAGAAATGATTGGTTGATATCATGGCAATAGAAATGATTGGTTGATATCATGGCAATATGGCTATAATAATGATTGGTTGATATCATGGCAATATGGCTATAGAAATTATTGGTTGATATCATGGCAATATGGCTATAGAAATGATTGGTTGATATCAGTGCAATGTGGCAATAGAAATGATTGGTTGATATCATGGCAATAGAAATGATTGGTTGATATCATGGCAATATGACTATAGAAATGATTGGTTGATATCACGGCAATATGGCTATAGAAATGATTGGTTGAAACCATGGCAATATGGCTTTAGAAATGATTGGTTGATATTATGGCAATGTGGCTATAGAAATGATAGGTTGATATCATGGCAATGTGGCTATATAAATGATTGGTTGATAACATGGCAATATGGCTATAGAAATGATTGGGTGATATCAGTGCAATGTGGCAATAGAAATGATGGGTTGATATCATGGCAATAGAAATGATTGGTAGATATCATGGCAATATGGCTATAGAATTGATTGGTTGATATCATGGCAATATGGCTCTAGAATTGATTGGTTGATATCATGGCAATGTGGCTATATAAATGATTGGTTGATATCATGGCAATAAGCTATAGAAATGGTTGGTTGATATCATGGCAATGTGGCTATAGAAATGATTGGTTGATAACATGGCAATATGACTATAATAATGATTGGTTGATATCATGGCAATATGGCTATAGAAATGATTGGTTGATATCATGGCAATATGGCTATAGAAATGATTGGTTGATATCATGGCAATATGGCTTAAGAAATGATTGGTTGATATCATGGCAATATGGCTATAGAAATTATTGGTTGATATCATGGCAATATGGCTATAGAAATGATTGGTTGATATCATGACAATATGGCTATAGAAATGAATGGTTGATATCATGGCAATATGGCTTAAGGAATGATTGGTTGATATCATGGCAATATGGTTATAGAAATGATTGGTTGATATCATGGCGATATGGCTTAAGAAATGATTGGTTGATATGATGGCAATATGGCTATAGAAATTATTGGTTGATATCATGACAATATGGCTTTAGAAATGATTGGTTGATATCATGGCATTATGGCTATAGAAATGATTGGTTGATACCATGGCAATATGGCTATAGAAATGATTGATTGATATCATGGCAATATGGCTATAGAAACGATTGGTTGATATCATGACAATATGGCTATATAAATGATTGGTTTATATCATGGCAATATGGCTATAAAAATAATTGGTTGATATTATGGCAATATGGGTATAGAAATGATTGGTTGATATCATGACAGTATGGCTATAGAAATGATTGGTTGATATTATGGCAATATGGCTATAGAAATGATTGATTGATATCATGGCAATATGGCTATAGACATGATTGGTTGATAACATGGCAATATGGCTATAGAACTGATTGGTTGATATCATGGCAATATGACTATAGAAATGATTGGTTGATATCATTGCTATAGAAATGATTGGTAGATATCATGACAATATGGCTATAGAAATTATTGGTTGATATCATGACAATATGGCTATGGAAATGATTGGTTGATATCATGGCAATAGAAATAATTGGTTGATATCATGGCAATATGGCTATAATAATGATTGGTTGATATCATGGCAATATGGCTATAATAATGATTGGTTGATATCATGGCAATATGGCTATAGACATGATTGGTTGATATCATGGCAATGTGGCCATAGAAATGATTGGTTGATATCATGGCATTATGGCTATAGAAATGATTGGTTGATACCATGGCAATATGGCTATAGAAATTATTGGTTGATATCATGACAATATGGCTATATAAATGATTGGTTGATATCATGGCAATAGAAATAATTGGTTGATATCATGGCAATATGGCTATATAAATGATTGGTTGATATCATGGCAATATCGCTATAGAAATGATTGGTTGATATCATGGCAATATGGCTATAAAAATAATTGGTTGATATTATGGCAATATGGCTATAGAAATGATTGGTTGATATCATGACAATATGGCTATAGAAATGATTGGTTGATATCATGGCAATGTGGCTATAGAAATGATTGGTTTATATCGTGGCAATGTGGCTATAGAAATGATTGGTTTATATCATGGCAATATGGCTATAGAAATGATTGGTTGATATCATGGCAATGTGGCTATAGAAATGATTGGTTTATATCGTGGCAATGTGGCTATAGAAATGATTGGTTGATATCATGGCAACAGGACCATGCATGGTAAATGTAACATTGGACACACTTGGTGGTGCACAACTCTTCATTAAAAACAAAGATTTATGTATGATACTCCACTCCAGAATTATAGATTTGTTTTAAAAATAATTTAAAACTAATCGGAAGAAATCAGTTTATACATTCCTAACATTCCCTAGCACAGGTATTCAAATTGTTTTCAATGGGATCATTGCTACAGTCACACAAAGATGATACATTCTACCAAAATTTCTGTTCCTGTGTAAGGTATAAAATAATTATTTTTTGAATATTTAGATGTACAAAAACCATCAGGTGAAATATTCCAGATCAATTTTGCCTCTTGGAAAAACCGTAATTATGCCTTTAAACAAAAGTTTGAAATTATTAATTGAAGTTTTAGTTCAGATATAATGATTGTAATATTTAATTTACTGTCAACATTTGAGATCTACATGTATTATGGGTAAGTCTTGACAAACATGTTTTGCATATTGTTCTCATACACCATTACTACAAAGTATTTTACTTACATTGTATAAATCACAACCTCAATGTACAAAGTCAGAACATTCTGGAACATTTTTAAAAACAATGATTTGGATATTTGGTGGCCATTTCAATAAAATTACTGAAGCAGTATTATTTCACAGGGAACCATAGCTATGGAGCTGCTGAAACAGGCACCAGACCTTGATGCCATTCTCGTTCCTGTTAGTGGTGGTGGCATGTCATCTGGTATAGCCATTGCAGCAAAGGCCATCAAACCAGGCATCAAAAGTGAGTGATGTCTACCTTGTATAGCCATTAAAAAAAACAGGCATCAAAATAAATGTGAGTGATGTCTACCCTGTTCAGCCATTAAAATAACAGGCATCAAATTAAAGGTTAGTGATGTCTACCTTCTATAGCCATTGACAAACAAGGCATCATATTTAAGGTGAGTGATGTTTGATAAATCTACGTCACAACAAAATACAATGAAATAGTGAAATGATAAATGAACTATTTATTCATTAACGCATATATCACGTACACCAAGTACAAAAACAAACAAGCTAGTGGACCCCTACATATAACATACTATCAGTACAAAATAAACTAAATACATTTAACCACTTGGCAAAATGACGACAATACACGGTTGACCCGTACTAGGTCAACCGGTGTACAGGATAAATATACCCTGGGAAATTATCTCCGTATTTTGAGTGACTACAATCTACCTTTTATAGCCATTAAAAAAACAAGGCAACAAAAGTGAGTGATGTCTACCTTGTATAGCCATTAAAAAACCAGGCATCAAAAGTGAGTGATACATGTATATACCTTGTATAGCCATTAAAAACATGGCATCACAGGTGAGTGATGTCTGTGTATAGCCATTACAATTCAGGCATCAAAGGTGAGTGTTGTCTACCTTTTATAGCCATTAAATAATCAGGCATCAAATAAAAGATGAGTGATGTCTACCTTGTATAGCCATTAAAAAACCAGTCATCAAAAGTGAGTGATATATACCTGGTGTAGCCATTAAAACATGGCATCAAAGGTGAGTGATGTCTATGTATAGCCATTAAAATTCCTGCATCAAAGGTGAGTGTTGTCTACCTTTTATAGCCATTAAATAATCAGACATCATATTAAAAGTGAGTAATATCTTCCTGGTATAGCCATTAAAAAACAGACATCATATTAAAGGTGAGTGTTTTCTACCTTATATAGTTATTAAAAAAACAGGTATCAGAGGTCAGTGATGTCTATTGGAACAACGAACTGCAATGTAAATGGAACTCTGGGATTGTAAAAGAACGTAATTGGCTTAGATGTGCTGATCAGAAATCACAAAAATGTCAACTCAAATTTGTATTCTGTACAGAGCGTAAGGAGTTCGATAAATTGCATAAAAAAATAAAAAAGTTAAACGACAGTTTCAAGCGCAACAAATGAAAGAATTGCACAATAAACTTCAGCAACCTAATTCGAGGGATTTTTGGAAAGATTTCGGGGAAAATTGGGATTGTAAATGACAAGTGTACGGCTATACCTCTACCGGTTAAGGATATTGATGGTAATATTATTACTGACACGCGAGATGTCCTCGAGCGTTGGCGAGCGGAATACGAGAGCCTGTACGCGACGGATCAGGAAACTCCAATGTATAACGAGGAACATTATGATATGGTTAAGGAGCGTGTTGCAAATAACACGATTCCATTAAAGCATAATCTGGATATTTCCGTCCTTAACGCACCGATTCAACGTCAGGAAGATATGGAAGCACTACGGCGTACACAAATTAGAAAAGCTGCAAGTATCGACCATATTCCCGCGGAAGTGCTCAAAAACGACGCTTGTGTGGATGTTATGTTTTCATTAATTAGTCATTGCTTTAACTATGGAGTTGTTCCGGATAAATGGAAACAAGGTTTGACCAATCCGATCGTAAAACCTAACAGCACTGACCCTATGGATCCGTTAACCTATCGGGGTATAACCTTGTTGTTGTCCGTTCCCTGTAAGGTCTATTGTGATATCCTCAACCGTCGTCTTAGCGCCTGGCTGGACAAACATGGTATTCTACACGATGCTCAAAACGGTTTTCGCAAGGACAGAAGTTGTCAGGATCATGTGTACTCGCTTTATAGTATCGTGAAAAACCGAATAAATGCTAAGCAGTCGACTTTTTCGTGTTTTATAGACCTACGTAAAGCCTTTGATACGGTCGTCAGAAACTGTTTGTGGTATAAGCTTTTACAGTCTGGTATAAAAGGAGCAATTTATAATGCTGTTTTGGCACTGTACAACGGTGTGTACGCGTCAACAATCTGCATACTGATTGACTGTCTGTGTCACGTGGTATACAACAAGGTTCTTTAGCCTCCCCGACACTCTTTGCAATCATTATTAATGACTTAATTGACGAGCTTAATTCTTCAGAACACGGTATTGACATTGACGGTGTCAGTTTAGGTTGTCTTTTTTATGCTGACGACATTGTGTTGTTGACGTCATCAAAGGATAACCTCCAAGCCCTTCTTAACATCATGTCATCTTGGTGCTCCCGCTGGCAACTATCTGTAAACGCTGGAAAGACCAAGATTGTGCATTTCAGACATACAATTAGGAGTATATCGGCTACCCAATATACATTCCATTGCAACGGACTTTCCCTTGAACGTCCGGACCGTTACAAATACTTAGGTCTCTGGTTCGATGACTATGCTGATATGAGTCGAGCCCTAGGTCTGTTTATTTCCAAGTTTTACTGTGCTGGTGGAATGACCTACGCTGTGTTTACAAAGTTGTATGAAAGCCTTGTGCAACCTGTTCTATTATATTGTTCTGCCATCTGGGGTCAATCTCAGTGTAAAGTCATTAATAATGTTCAGAATCGAGCTATGAAGGTGTTCATGGGTGCGACAAAAAATATATCGAATGTTGGCGTTATTGGAGATATGGGATGGTTATCTACTCTTAGTAAACAAAGGACTGAAGTTTTTCGTCTATATTGCCGTGTTAATTCTATTGATCACGGACGTTTATTATACAAAATTCATGTTTGGTCGAAGCAGAGACATAATTTGTGGGACGCGCGAGCACTTCGGCTGAGTGAAAAGTATAATCTACGTAACATTTTGGAATCCGGAGTCAAACCCACTTACCACACTTTAAATGTCGTTAAAACTAAAGTAAGACAGAAGGACGAAAGTGACTGGTTCAGTCAACTTTGGGACGATCAGAGCCTTGTAAATGGAAACAAATTGCGGACATACAGGAAATACAAAAAAGATTTAAAACCAGAACACTATTAAACATGATATGCCTGGACCTTACCGTTGTGCTCTAACCAAGCTCAGATGTGATAGTGCTCCTTTAAGGATAGAGACTGGTCGATATGGTAGACCCCGACTCCTTTACAAGAGCGGTTTTGTTTTTTCTGCACTAACTCAGTGGTGACTGAACTTCATTTTTTATGCGACTGTCCTTTGTGTAGTGACCAAAGACAGTCTATTTCATCAGATGGAGAACTCTTGTGATACTTTCAAAGATTGTGATAGTAATGAAAAATTATCCAATCTTTATTAGGAAAAACTGTATATTTTATGCAACGCAGGAGGAGGATGTTTTTTAATTGTATATAAGGATTTTTCTAATCATAATTATTTACAGCATCTTTTACTAAGTATATATATCCTATAACTTAGGAAATGTTCTTAATTTTTCTTTTCCTTTTTTTTAATATTTTATAATTTCTTAGGTATGGACTATTGAAGTAATTTTAAAGATTGATACTGTTTCATAAGTCATTGATGGCTGGATGTTAATATAGTTTTATGTATAAATTTATCAGATACCTGTTTTAATGTTTGTATTAACATGTGACACTTAAATAAAATGATTGATTGATTGATTGTATAGCCATTAAATTCAGGCATCAAAAGTGAGTGATGTCTACCTTGTATAGCCATTAAAAAACAGGCATCAAAGGTGAGTGATGTCTACCTTGCATAGCCATTAAAAAAGCATCATATTAAAGGTGAGTGATGTCACCTTGTATAGCCATTAAAAAAACAGGAATCAAAAGTGAGTGATGTCTACCTTGTATAGCCATTAGGAAATAAGGCATCAAAGATGAGTGATGATCATGTCTATGTATAGTCATTAAAATTCTGGCATCAAAGGTGAGTGATGTCTAACTTGTATAGCCATTACAAAAACCAGGCATCAAAGGTGAGTGATATCTACCTTGTATAGCCACAGACATCATTTAAAGTGTTGGAAAATATTAAAGGTGATAGTGGGATCATTGCAACAATGATAAAACACCTCTTGTGAATATCTCACTTCATACCAATACAGTTTTCAGTTATGGTACTTGATATATAAATCAATAAATATTTGTGCTGTTAAACATTTATACATGAGACACATTTGAACTCTTCCAATTCAAAGGTCCAAATAGTTCATTACCAAATTTCTGGGATGAATGAGTTGAAAGTAAATCGATGTGTCCTCTGATGAAAGCATTAATAAAAGACATTTATGTATTAATTCCATTTATGTATTAATTTAATTTAAATTGTGTTTCCTTTCGGATTTCAGTATATCTTGTGGAGGCTGAGGGCAAGATGTGTGAAAAGTCACTAAGAGCAGGTAAACAATAGTACAGTGTATTTTTTTCATTACAAACCATTGTGTATAATTTTGGTTTTGACTTTTCAGAAAAAAATCACTTAAAAAAAAAAAAAGGTTTGCCCAATTACAAAACTAAGTTCAGGAAATATTTATTTACTTGTCTTTTGTTTTTAGCTTAAAGATTTAAGTGACATGATGTTTTTGTTCTTTATTTCTTCTTTTTCTTGCAAATAGATTTTGCCTGAAACAGTTCACCATGTTTCTGTATTTAGCAATTTTAACCGAGTATGTTACTTTCTGAATTTCTTGAAAAATTGTTTATAGCAAAACAAGTTTTTATTATATATTATAAAATTCATTTTTAGAAATGTATCAGTTACTGTGAATCTTTGTTAACGTATGAGATTGTAAATGACTGTACGTATATTTGAATATGACATGAATGTAAGATTGTCCATCCCTGTACAATCATACAACATAAATTGTAGAGTGCGTATGAAATTATAATCACCGTGTAGATGTACATGTATCGATGTACTGTTACTAACATTATATACTACTTCATTAATACAACATATGCAAGATCGTAACTCAATGTAGATCTTAAAAATTGTACATGCATTGTATAGCGCTTACTGATATAATTTTACAGGGATATGGAATATAATAGCTATCATCTACATATATTGTGTACTAGTTGCTGATAATTTATTTTTGAGACTTAAACATTTATACAGTTATATAATGCATGACTTTCCCTGCCTGATTCAGTGATGTGTGATGGCGAGGGGTTTTACTAACACCTGTCAGTGTATGTTTGTATGTAGGTGAACGACTTTGGCCTAACCCTCCACGATTTCTTAACACAATCGCCGATGGGATCAGGATGCAACACTTAGGCCACTTAACATGGCCAATACTCTTAGAACTCGCAGAAAAAGATGTCTTTTCCCTCGTAAGTTGTTCACCAAATGTTGACTGGGTTTTACTTTGATTAGGTGAGAGGCTGTGGCCAAACCCGCCCCAGTTTGTTGACACCATCGCTGATGCCATTCGAACACAACAGCTTGGTCATGTGACCTGGCCAATATTGCTTAACCATGCTGAAAAAGATGTCTTCTCTGTTGTAAGTGGATTTAAAAGCAGGACAGCTCCTGATCCAATACTATCCTCCTTAAGTGTCCGCATTAATGCCATTAAATGATTTCTTAATATGTTTAGTGTCCAGATGTTATGAGAGGATACTGTTCAAATTTTTCAAGCCACATATTCTTTATAATGTAACTAAATTTTGTATGCAGATATAAAACCATAAGTCACTCTCATCAGTCTCATAATGAGAGGTCAGAGGTAAAACTGTTTTATCATGTTTCCCCTTTGAATGAAAGGAGACATATTGTATTAGTGCTGGTTCTTCTCCTGGGTTTTCTTTTTCTGATAAAAATCTTGCCTGGTCCATCACTTACAAACCAAAGGATGTCTTGGTTCAACTAGATGTGTGTCTACATCACGTACAGAAAGTGCGCATCGTTAGGTTAGGAAGTCAGGTCATTGCATCCTTCACCTCTAGGTCAAAGGTCAAATAAGAACATACTTTTCAGGTAAATCTTGTCAAGGCTGTAACTTTTAAATTATTGAAAATATTTTGATGAAACTTAATTTGCACCTGCATTACCCACAGAAGGTGTGTGTAGTGCACGTACTATCACAAACAGACAAATACTAGGTACAAAGTTGGATGACCATTTCATGTATATGCTACACGCTGGGAATAATGTTTGAATGGGTGATGGTATTTTGACATGAAGTTTTTCAGCATCGTATATACATGCACTTTATCAACATTAGGTGGTATTCGGTGTAACAGGTTTATGATCTTCATCACAAAGTGACTTCATATAGAAAACTGCACATGTATAGGAAGGCTGTACTTACACTTTGTACTTGTTTCGTCTTCTCTGATATAAACTGTAACAGCCATTACGAAGAAATATTCATTATGTTTCAGAATGATGAAGACATGATTAAAGGAATGAAGTTTGCATTTCAAAGAATGAAGGTGTGTAAGAGATCACAAAGCACTTTACTTATTTACAATTTATTTACATTCTATCACATGTATACTGAGAAACCATCGGCCTGTCAAAGTTTCGCCCATCGCCAATAAATTTAATGTTTTGCCCACATTGGAGGGCAAAAGCGGTGGAAATTAATATGTGGTGAAAAAATTCTAATATACAGTACCATATACAATGGAATACTACCAGTCATTGACCTAATCTGATCTCTTGATAAATGAACACCTTTTATTTGCATTAATATATATATATATTGTTGTCGTCTGTTGTATAGCAGGGGATCACATTATCGTGAAATAAATGCAGCAGCTTGAACAATAACATTAGTTATGTTTACAACATTTTTAGTTCACCTGAGACAAAGTCTCAAGTGACCTATTGCGATCGCCTTTTGTCTGTCGTCGTCCGTCGTCCGTCGTGCGTCCGTAAACAATTTACATTTTCGACTTCTTCTCCAAAACCCCTGAACCAATTTCAATGAAATTTTGCAGGGACCTTCCATGGACAAAGGTCAACAAAAATTGTTGCCGGTTTAGTCCTAAGCCCCCAGGGGCCTGAGGGGCGGGGCCAAAAAGGGTCAAATTGACTAAAATTTCAAAAATCTTCTTCTCCAAAACCCCTGAACCAATTTCAATGAAATTTCGCTGGGACCTTCCATGGACAAAGGTCAACAAAGATAGTTGCCGGTTTAGTCCTAAGCCCCCAGGGACCCGAGAGGCAGGGCCAAAAGGGGTCAAATTGACTAAAATTTCAAAAATCTTCTTCTCCAAAACCCCTGAACCAATTTCAATGAAATTTTGCAGGGACCTTCCATGGACAAAGGTCAACAAAAATAGTTCTCTTCATAGATGGAAGGGTCTTAAGGTGCTTTACCAAAATTGTGAATTTCATGACCCTGGGGTCTCACGTTTCCCCCTGGGGAGGGGGTAAACTTTACTATAGTTTATGTAGGGATATCACATTTTGGACCAATATTTGTTTAATTTCCATTGGAAGTAATTTAATTTGGGTCAGCATTATCAGTATTAGGTAGCAGTTTGATAGTATGCACCTATGAGCCCTGACTATGCCCCAGGGGCTGATGGGTGG